GCTTCAGCCTGAGCCAGAACTAAAGTCTGCGGTGCAGAACTTCGCGACTGCAGCGTGCGGGTCGCAGCTCAGCCCCGACAGATGCTCCCGACTTGCGCTGGGCTCGGCAAAGGTTTGACACAGATGGAGTTAAAAATGGGAAGCAGCGGCACAGAAGCGAGGGGCGGCTGGCAGGGCACCCACGTCTGCGAGGGGCCAGACAGAGGCTCCAGCCTCCCAGGTGGCGTGGGGCTGTTCACCTGCGGCCAGCCGGGGGAGGAGTGGACGGCGGGAGGCTCCCCCCAGCGTGAATGGAGCGCCCAGCGGCGGGCAGGCCGCACCTGCTTCCCGAGCGAGGTCAGGCAGGGACACGGGCACCAGGTAACGGAGCAGCTGCCGCAGCCGCTGGCTGAGTCCTGTAGCAGCAAACCAGTCCTGATCCTGTCTATCGCCTCGGTTGCCCCGGCCCATTTAGAGGCGGTCACGGCGGGCTTACGGGCTCCACCCTTCCTTGGCAAAGCAGCTGTGTGTCCAACACAAGCTAATTAATTTTGCCTTCCCGAATGACGGTAGCTGCGTGCATCCGGGACACCGTATCGACCATGCACCTTTAATATCCCAGTCTTGAGATTTTAATTAGAAGGCAGAGGGATCTCAAAGAAGGCGGTAATTCTTTTTTCAAATTGGTTACCCCAAGACGATTAAGCGCTGCATTTCGTGAACATGGGCAGCAATAAAGGAGCATCGCCCAAATCACGTCCACAGCACAGCTGTTCTTCTGGGTTCCGGGACTCGGGACGCGGCACAGGTGGTTGCGAGAGGCCTCGGTGGCTCTCTGCGAGGTCGGCAGCACAGCTGGGCTCCCGGGCCTGTCACCCACCTCAGCAGTCTCGGCTCCAGCCGGGGGCACTGTACCGTCTGGCTCTGGCCTCTGGGCACCTCTTGGCATGAGGCTCATCTTGTGATAATGGAGAGCTGGGGCTTGCTCAGAATTTGGGGCTGCACCGGGGTTGGTCAAGCCCTTGGGACAACCCTGGCCTCCTTGCTTCCCTGCCCAGCGCTCTCACTTAAGGGACCCGGGCTGACCTCAAGCCTGGCCAGACCACTAGATAAATCCCAGGGACCCCGAGTCCACAGAGGAGCGTCCTGCCTGGGCGGGGCCCGTCCAGCCTTCAGTTGGGGTCTGAACTCCATCCCACACGCACACTCCTGCCGCTCACAACCTCACGCTGGGGCTTCCCCAGGCTGCCCCCCACATCTCCTGGCTGGTAGCCTCTTCTTGCACTCTCAGCTTCCTGGGCACCTCCTGTGGGAAGCCTCCGTCTCGGCCTGCCAGCGGCCCACTGTGACTCCTCTTGCTTGTGTTCTGTTTGCTTCTGTTTTCCTCCCCTACAGTTCTGAATTCCGTGTGCAAGGGTCTCAGTTCCTGCTCTGTAGAATGCCAGGCCCTAACACAGCGCATGCTCAAAGCCAACGGTGCACAAATCTATTTAAGAAGTGACGAATGAAAACAATCCATCAGAGGCCAGGGCTCCCTTGGGGGCACTGGTCAGCTTGGTGAATGAGCCCCATCCCACTCTTCTCCCCTCTAGGCAGCCCCCAGGCCCACAGAGGGGAGAGGCGGGCTAAGGGCAGGTAGCGGGTGGCCAATTAGCCACCCAGCGCCACCCCTGCACGGGGCAGTGCTGGAGTGTGTAGTTTGTCCAGGTTCACGGGGGACCCGGTTACGGCCGTGAGAGAGGAAACATGTATGCTGGCTGTGCGAGGGGCTCCTTTGGTGTGGTGGTGTGTGGGGCGGGGCTCGGGGAGTCAGTGGCTGCAGGAGCCTCACCCGCAGGGCCCCAGTGAGCCACCCTGCCTGGGCGCAAGCCTTCTGGCCGGGTTCTGGAGTTTAGAGTGATGCCACTTCAAAAGGGGGAAAGACATTATTTCCGGCCTCATTCACAATTCAAGGAGTCCAATTTCAATTCACAATCAGAGGCCATTTTCCACCAGGTTGGCAAAGATAATAAATGTTGATAATCGGCTATGTTGGCAAGGTTATGGGAAAACAGACAGTTTCAGTAATCATAGGTGGGAGCATAAATTGGTACCCACCTCTGGGGAAGGCAGCTTGGCGATAGCTATACCAATTAGCCACCCAGCGCCACCCCCGCAGGGGGCAGTGCCGGAGTGTGTAGTTTGTCCAGGATCACGGGGGACCCGGTTACGGCCGCGAGAGAGGCAGCACCGGCCCTGCCCACCCCGGGCTTCTCGACATCCATCCCTGAAGGCCGGGGTGGGGGTGGGGCGCCGGGGTGGGGGTGGGGTGCGTGGGGCGCAGGAGCAGGGCCGTGGGGGCCCAGACCTCGTCTCTAGAATCGCCGCCCCACTCTGCGTAAAGGGAGATCTTTCAGGAAGGCCACGTGTAGAGCCCAGTTTCGTGGGCTGCCCCTGGAGGAGGGCTTCCAGTCCTTGGGAGCTCTCTGGATTTTCCTGTGCCCTGTGGGGCACCACTCTTCTAAACATATAGAGACCATCCATTAAACCACCAGGTGCCTGGCCCTCCCAGGGGGCGCAGCGGGTTCTAAAGCCGCTTCCGCATGAGTTCGATCCCCACATGCCCCGGAGGTGACCACATGGCGCGGCAGACCTCTCCTGACCCGCCCGCTGCTCCCCTCAGCAGTGTACTTCGTCGATCTGCCTGTTCTGCTCCACGCTCTGTCTCTGGGGAAGCCTCTCGCCGCACCTGAGCCTCTGGCCTGTACCCCAGCTCTGTATGAATAAATAAATAAATCTTTAAAACAAAAAAAAACCCACCAGGTGCCAGGAGCTGCTGGCGCCCTAACCTCACAGACCCCTCCTCTTCTGGTCCAGGGAAGACCACCTTGGAGTAGACTTCACCCTGGGCACCCGGGGGACTGGGCCTCAGTTCTGGGACTGGCCCCAGGGGTCACTTGTAGGATTTCCATGGGCGTGTCTGGGGGGATCCGCCACCTGTGCCAGCCTCCCCCTGACTCTCTGCTCCATGCTCTCCTCTCAGCCCCAGCCTGCCCTCCGGCCCTTCTTTGCCAGTCTGCCGCTCGAGCTCTCACGGGGTGCCCACTGGGTCAGTGCCATCCTCAGACAGGCTTAGCACTCCCGGTGCCTAATCGAGCCCCAATCAAAGGCTGCCTGTGTACCAGGCCTCCGGCGGCAGCTGACGGGCCAGCTCTCCTGCCGCGGGGCTGCCTCCCTGGGGGTCACCGCCTTGCCCATTGTGGAGGCTGAATGGGAGCCACTCTCCACCAGCTGCTGACTGCCCCCGCTTCCTGCAGCCACTGAGGGTGGGCGGTTGGCCCTCCGCTCGGGTGCAGCCCCCCTCCCAACAGCCAGCCAGGGCAGGAGCCGCTCTGCAGCCTGGCACAACCCCTGGAAGGGCTGCTTGGGCTGGGGTAGGAGGCGGGGAGAGGCAAGGGCTGGTCTCCTGCTCATCTCTGCCCCACGCTGCCCTCCAGCCCAGTCTAGCCGGCACCTGCGTCCGAGGGGCAAGAATCTCAAGAAGTCTTGTGGGCAGAGAGCCCCGGCAGGATGTGCTGAATCAGTGTGACTTTGGGGGGACCCGTCTGGCATCCCCTCAGTACCTCAGAACGGGACTTCTTTTGGAGATGAGGGTCTTTTCAGAGGTCAGCAAGTTACATGAAGCCGACAGGTGGCCCTCACGCACCATGACCGTGCGCACAGGAAGGCGGCCAAAGGCCCAGAAGCGAGCAGAGCTAGAAGCCGGTGCCAGGGCGGGGCGCCTCTCCCGCGGGGCGCCCTGAGTGGGGGGCAGGCATCGCTGGGAAACAGTGTCTTACTTTCCAGTATATCCAGCAGTGGGCTCACTGGATCACCTGAGTTTCTATTTTTAATTTTTTTATGGATCTCCATGCTGCTTCCGTAATGACGGCGCCCAATTTTAAAGTCAGGGAACAGATGACCCCACAGACTATAGCCCATGTTGGATGTGGAGATGTGACCCCAGCAGAGTCCTTCATCATTGTGAACCTCCATGTCCTGATCTCCTCTGTCCACCTGCCAGGGCCACGGCACAAGCCCGGTCCCTTCTCCGCGGTGGGTGGCAGCTGCCAAGATGACAGTGTCTTAGGATGGCCGGCGGCCTGTCTCTCCTGGGTCCTGTTCTCTGCAGGTGGTGTTCCGCCGGGCAGAGACAGAGCAGAGCTCAGGGAGACGGGCCCTGGCTCAGGGCTGGCATTCAAGCCAGTGAGCGGCCGTGTGCCTGCCCCCACAGCCCGCATGTCCGGGGCCAGGACGCTCCAGACGGGGCACCCCCTTCGCCTCCATGTCACCCATGGGCCCCTCTTCCTCCCGCAGTGGCAACCGCAACCTCTTGGCCACCAAGGCGGGGGAGCCCTTGCTCCCAGCACAGACACCACCATCCAGACGCCCCGCAGGGGCAGAGGGCGGCTGCCGATGGACGTCCGGCGCCACGCCCGGCGCCCGCCCTCCCCCGGCCTCCCCAGCTACGGCGCGCCCTCGTCCCCCTCTCTGGCAGCACTTCCTCCTGGGAGGTCTGCAGGGAAGATGTTACCATCTCGGGACTAACCGCCTGTTTGTTTAAAGCGCTTGCTACCGGCGCCTAATGCTATTTTGACAGATGAAAGTGAGTCAATTATAGCTGGAAATAGCACTGTCGGCTTGCGTTTCCGCCAGGGTTGCCCACTCCCCATCCGAGGGACTCTCTACCACGGAGTCTCGCCTCCTCTGATCTCGCGGACCCCCAAGCCATGGCAAGACTTTATTCCTTCCAGAAAGAATCACTTAAGGCACGGACCCTGGAGCGCGAGGCATGGGTGGTGGACCCCCACTCTGACCCGGGTGGCGGGCGGGGATGCACGGGAGCCCGGCACTCGCCCGCAGGACCTGGGCTGGCTCGTGAGTCTGGTGCATGCAGCAGCACTAACGATCTCTCTAGTCTTTCTTGGGGAGCACAGGCTTAGGTGTTGACACCCCAGTGGGACCAGTGCTGGCCACAGGTGTGGGTGCCTTAGAAGTCACCTTTAGGAGCACAGAGGTCACATGTGTTATGCTAAGGCCCCACTGAGGGGCTGGCGCAGGGCCGGCACCACCCCCGAGTGCTAATCCTTACGGTCATCCAGGATTGTCCTCTTCTCTGTCCCTGGAGGGGACAGAACCCACCAGCAAATCCTGTTGCCCTTAGTCCACACTTTACAGCAAGTCAGACTGAACACGGCCCTAGTCTGAGCACCTCAAACCTCCCCCCGAGTGGCCCCCTCCCCCACGACGGCGACAGCCAGTCAGGGATACTCCTGCTCGCACCTGCTCCCTGGCAGCGAACTCTCCCTGCCACTCCGGCACAGTTCAGGCGGGCGCCACCGCCTGGCGAGGACCGGCCTGCCAAGGAAACCCGCCTGTCCACCTCGCCTTCCTCCAGACGAGGGGCTCAGGAAGGATTTGCCGAGTTCGGTCAAGGAGGGAGACGTGCGGCTGCGCTAGACCAGCGGCCTGCGGGGGTCGCCGCGGCCAG